GCTTGCATTTCAGCGTGACAGGTAAAGCAAGAATAAAATGGATTGTCATATCTGTGTTGTGTGGCTAGAAGGAAAAAAAAAACAGATTGATAATAAATCAGAGTTTGTTTGGGTAAATTTTAGCCATCTTCAACTATATATCTATTACTCCATAAAACATACACGCAAATTACCAATAATACCCTTCAGTTTAAAAGTATTTACACTTACAAATTTAAAAAAAAATTAAAGGATTAAATATGTTTTTAATCCTTTTAAATATGACTATTTTCACTTTTAGTCTCTCTAAAAATTTCTTTCAAAGAAAGGTTTTTCTAATATTTTTCATACCACGTGAATTTTTTTTGGTGACTAAGCATGTACATGAAATCTGACGTAAATACCACGTGACAATTCCTTTCATTTTTTATTTTTTATATCCATAAACCTATAATTTGTATCTAATTCCAACTTAGTTCATAACTAATTTCTAACTAATTTAAATACATCATTATCATTCTTATTCTTATGACTTAAACTTCATTTTCTTTTATGAAAACTTCATTTTCTTTTATGAAAGTTTACACAATTCATAATTACATGCAAGTTTGATAAAAACAACAAAAAAAGATATAAATTAAAGCAACAAAAAGAACTCATTTAATGTACTTCTATTCACAATGTACTTCTATTCATAGCTCAAACAACTCATAGTTGAAGCACTTAATTCCAAATTGAAAACAAAAGTGAAAAAATATATAATACAATCTTAAATTAGTAATTTATTATTTTAGAAAGATTAGATTTAATTTAAAAAGATTAGATTAGATTAGATATTTTTGGACTTTTATAGTTTACACTTTTGTTTGAGATGTAAGTTAACCTAAATGTCTAAATAAGTAGGAACCCTTATCATTGTAATAATCAAATTTGATAATCACGGTTTTGTAATTGTAAAGTGATAATAAAATTCTACAGTTGTGGGCAGAGAGTTCTCTGCAGAAACTCATCTTCTTCTCCAACGTTTTTTCTTTCTTTCTCATTTGTTCATTGTCATTGTGTGAGTGGAAACAATTTTGAGATCAAGATTGAGTAGGAATTCTCCATAGGTTGTGGTTGAATTCCAACATCTGATATCTAGAGCTCCGTTTTTGATTCAAAGGAAGAACAACTGTGATGACGATGAATCACCCAAACGGTCACTTTTCAACAAATCTTCCAATTCTCAAGAAAGATAATTATGAGAATTGGTGCAAGCAGATTAATGTGGTTTTCTGTTACTAAGATCTTTGGGATCTTGTGAAGGAGAGATTATCACCGCTTGCAGAAACTGCGACAGATCAGGAGAAAGTAACATATAAAGGATTGTAGAAGAAAGATTATGGAACTCTCTTTATAATCCATCAATGTGTTAATCCAGATAACTTTGAAAATGTTAGTGATGTAGAATCAACAAAAGAAACTTGGGAGATTCTTGAAAAATCGTTTGGAGAGGCAGAAAAGGTGAAAGATGTGAGGTTACAAACTCACAAAAGGATTTATGAATTGCTTCAAATGGAAGACAATGAAAGTATAACATATTTCTTCACCAAACTTACAAAGCTGGTGAATCAAATCAAGGTATATGGAGAAGTGTTGACATTAAGATCAGTTGTGCCAAAGATCTTGAGGTCATTGGCTGTAAAATTCGACCACGTGGTAGTAGCCATAGAAGAGTCGAAAGACTTGTCAGTATTGACGAAGAAGAACTTTAAGGAACGCTTGAGTACTGAAGCATGTTTGGACGAAGAAACAAACGATGCCCTAAGGGAAGAACTCGACCTCGTCGAAGAGGTTCGAATAGGGACAACCCTCCACGAAGCCCCACTCAAGCAGAAAATAACAATTAGACACAACGCCAAAGTCATCCGACAAGAATTCTAAGTAGGTAGCCTCGTCCTAAGAAGGAATCACAAAGATTCTCGAGAGGGAAAACTCGTCGCAAACTGGGAAGGACCCTACCGCGTTAGAGCGAAAATGGGAAACGGAGCCTACTACCTAGAATACCTAACCAGGGAAGAATTAGCTCGACCATAGAATGCCGAAAAGCTGAAACAATACTACAACTAAGGCCCCCACTGTCGACGTGTCTCGCCCAGACGGCGGGCACGATGACCGACTAAGGTTGCACGCCCAGGTACAAGTGATGCACCACCAGAAGGATCTAAGCAAGGGCCTGACAAAGATACCTACCCATGCTCGACGACGGTTCCTCGACCGGGCCCGCCGTCGCCACAGTACCATGAACGACAGAACCCTTAGCTCACGATGGGAAGTTCACGCCGCGGACTCAGGCCACGACCGTGACCTGAGCTTCGCCCTGCCCGGAAATAACCCAAGCCTTTCGATCAGTTCCCCGCACTGACGAACATCATCCATCGAGCAGACCCAGAACATAACATATAACTAAGTGCTTCTGACGACCGCATTGGGCGGCGCAGAACACTTAGAAAATATTCAACATAACATATAACCAAGTGCTTCTGACAACCACGTTAGACGACACATGACACTTAGAAAGTATTCAGCAAAATTTAAAAATACTAACATACAAACATACGGGCGTGCTACGTACTTGCATATATATAATTTAACACGACCACCAAGGCCGCGGTTGTGCATGATACAATGGAAAGGGGACCAAGTCCCACATAATAAGATTACAACAAAAATACATAAATGGCACGCAGGTCAAAGGGTAAAACTACTCCTATTGCTGGATTTCCTCGTGCGGCGCCTGCCTCTGTTCATCACCGCCCTCGTTGAACCGGAGGAATTCTAGGACGACTATCTGGTCGTCCTTGACCGTGTAGAGGAACCTTGTGCCCTTAGTATTCAGCTCGACTGACCAGTCACCATTTATGCTATGTAATCATCATGGAATCATCTGGTAATCATCAATAAGTCAGGTAAACTATATGAAGTTACATGTGTTTTAGTCGTAATTAGGGTCTGTCGTAGCGTGTAGTAGATTTTGAGTTTCTCGAGGATATTTTAAGCTTTCGGGTATTTTTCAGGTCAAATATAGGTTTGGAAGCTCAGATGATCAAATGCGAGATGTAAGATCGAGCCGGAGCGAGAAAGCAGAAGAAAAATGAAAAATTGAACGCTCTGTTGTCCATATGTGTAATGCCTTAGCTGTTACGCGTATAGACCTCACATGTACGCGTAGGATACGTGAATCAATAGAGAAAGGGAAAAACCCTCTACCGATACGCATAACAAGCAAGTCATTACGCGTATTAGTTTGCACAGATGGCTTAAAATGTAGTCCCCGTTTTTAGAAAATTGATAAATCTTAAAATTAAAATCATTCAAATATTACCTTTTCGAATCTTGTCAGACCCTCTTTTTTAGTACCCTCTTCCCGTCGGTTCTTCTTCCATATGTTTATCAAACTTGTGTTGTTTTTGTCCTCGAAGTGGTAATCTCACTCATTACATGAAGATCATGGAGTATGGAGTATATTTGAAATATTTTGTGTTTAATGTTTGTTAGGTGTTAATGAGAAGTGAAAAATCGAAAATGGAAGAAGAGGGGTCAAATTTGTTTATAGTGAAAAGAGAAGAGACAAAGGAGAGCGAAAATGAAGGGAGTGAAGACGAGAGTGGCGGAAAAAAAGGGAGTTTGTTTTGAAATGAAATGTGTCAATTTGATAAAAATGGTGACATGTGGACGAATGAAATACCAAGATATTTTGTTTTAATTGGTACATTAGATTACCAATAAATCTTTTTAGTAGTTTAATTATTTGAAAAGGTAAGGATAAAATAGAGAGTATATATTCATCCAATTTTAATGGATCAATAGTTAATTATTAATTATTATTTGGATTGATTAGCAAAAAACTATTATGTTATTAGGGACAGTTAAATTTTATTAATGATGTGAGTTTAGGTTTAGAATAAATAAGAAAAGATAGGGAAGAGTCAATCATCATGGAGTCTAATTAGAAAATGGGTCCCTTTGACATTAGAAGATGCAGACTCAAAATTTTGCGCAGTTCTACAATTTAATCTGTATTTCAAAGGAATTTTTCCTATTTTCTTTTATATATCAGTTGATTGTGTTTGAATCTTGTTAATGAATCTTCTAAAAGCAATTCATATGAACCATTTCCTCCTTGTTAATGTGGACAAATTGTTAATAATTGAAGAGATAGTAAGAAAAAAAAGCTACCAACGGTGTTAATGTTAGGCGTTCCCGGAATCAAGTAGCATGTTGCTTTGCTAGATGGGTGGTTAGTGAGCCCAATGCAAACGCTTTCTACAGCCTTCTCCTCTTAACAAAAATTAACAAGTATGATCCTAGTTATAAATTTCATGATTTCTGTCCTTCATTTATAAAACAAAATACTTAGTCCAACATTCATAAAAAAAGAAAAGTATGGGTATAAACAAGGAGGAGTAGAGTGAGAGAGATAAAGACACAGGAGAGATATGGAAGCAGCTGCAAATGAAGAGGATATAAATCCCAGTAAACACCCATTGCAGCACCAGATAATTGTGTCACCACCTCATGGATTTGAATCCTTTAATGTGAAAAACAAAATCATAGATTGTTATTTCAACAAATTCGTGATTTGTTATGCCATACCTACAATATCTACCATTGATTTATTAATTAATAGATACTATTCACTTTACACTCTAAAGTGAATTGCACATTTTGTGGAGCCGGTTCCCCACCTCAGGGGCAGTGGTGGCTGGTCAGGGGCAGTAGTGGCTGATCGGAGAAATGAGGAGGGAGAGAAGAGAGGACGATGACTTTTTCAAAATAAATGGTGCAACAGGTGCACCAGAACATTGCCAAATTTGTTATCAAGTATGAAACTATCCTGTCACCCTTCAAAGAATCAGGATGAATTCACTTTGCAATCACTGATCTTTTATTGATTCAAATTATTCAACTTCACTTACATTTAAATACATTGTAGGAGTATCTTAACCGCCAATTGCAATTGATTCCTGCCCAGGAGGTCATCAAGGAAGAAATGGGTTGTGTGAAGGGTATTCCTCTTTTTGCCTTTTGTAAGCCCTGCGCAACATTAGCAGAAAAGGTGCCATTGTTAGTGAACAAGTTCATAGTTCATATATATGAAGAGAGAAAAAAGTGAAGGATAAGCCACAAAGTTGGCAGTTAAACACCTTGAAGCCTGAAACCCTCCAAGTGCAACTGTTCCCAGAATAATTAAAAGGAATGGAACTTTAATCATAGCATGGTTTTTTCTTCCTCCGCTGGCCCTTGGAACTCCGGTTCTCACAACTCGCCAATATTCAGCTGAATAATAATTATGTCGCATTTAAATATGAAAAGAAAAACAGAGGAATTGCTTTTAAATGAAGCACATGAGGATTTGGAAAGGAATTCACCTGAAGTTGAAGCTTCTCCTCTACCACCTGTGTTTTGAATTTTATTCATTACTTCAAAAGAAGTTGCAAAACAGATATAAATAAAAGCTGTAGGATGAGCTCAAGATCCTCCGAAGGGAAGATAAGGGCCTTTTCATGTCATATAATTTCCCAATGAGTTCAAATTGTTTTTTTTCAAAAAATTTATTGACAATTTTTTGAAAACAGAAAATAAAAAGCGAAAACAATGTGACCTTTATGCAACTAGAAGTGATTTAAACAGAATCCAAACTAACCCCTATATATGCTCTAGGCAACTTAATCACATTTTGCCACGACCAAAGAAGACGGAACTTGTTTCTTTCAACAAAGAAGAAGATGGTAGTGAGACAAAAGGAAAAGAGGATATCACCTACCAGAGTACTAGGACAACAACCTAAAGTATCATTCAAATAGGGGAATACAAGGACTCTGGAGTCTGGAGAATTACCCGGCAATAGACGTGTGTAAGCTTCGGAAATCTGCAGTAAAATAAAAAAAATTCAATCACTTCTCATTCTTTCCATTTAAAATAGGGGAATACACAAGGGCAATCAAAGTCTCAAACCATTTCCCTCGAAAACCAACTTGTAGTCAAATTTATCAAAGGAAAAGTCAATCCAATTTAATATCAATCTGTTTACTTGTTTTAACTTTTAAGCAAGGGAAAAATCATTCTGCACATTCTATTAAAAAAATTTCTCCAACTAATATCATATAAATAATCACCATTTTCATCCATGACACAGTTGGTCTATGAGAGATTGTTATGATGCAATATTTCTGTCCAAAATCAAACTCATATATCAACTCTATAGCACCGATACCTCTGGAAAAAAAAGGTGTGTTTGTGTCACGGTTTTAAACCTACACCAGACACTTGTGATTAGGTTTAATTTATTCATTTTTTTCAAATTATTATAGTTGTTGACGTAAAACACAGAAAGTGCACAAAAACAAAAGAAATTGATTGGATTGCTCACCGATTTAAACTTGGATTCAGCAAGAGGCTTCTCATGAGATGGAAAGAGGTCAGGATGAGATTCCCACACCTTCTGTTTATAAGCTGATTTAACCTAAAAAAACATTCAAAAAAAAAATCAGTATTCAACAAGTGGCAAAATTCATAATCTAAGATCAAGATGAATTTAGTTCAATTATTAACCACCAATTAATTAACCAGCCACTGAGAATTAGGGAAAAAAAAACAAAGTGAAATTTGATTGTGGAAATTGCAAATTGAAAGAATAAGAAAACGCTAAGAAGTAACCTCGGAAGGAGTTGGACGCGAATTGGGTGGGAAACCGAGGAGAATTCTGGCTTCATTGGCGTCCATCTGTGTGGCGAATGGCGATACACCCCCGAGATGACGGTGCGAGTGATTGTGACAGTGAGAACATTTAACACCTAACTTAGGGTTTGGTAATGGTAGTTGTTGTAGAGAGCAAAGCGAAACAGAGAAAATTCTTCATCCAGTAATAATGGTTTTGTTCAAACATCCAAAATATGCTTATGCTTTTTCCTTTTCTACTGTAAGTAGTTCACGTGAGGGGGTTCTTGACCACATAGTACATAAATGTTAGATGAATTTTAGAGGTGTGCTATTTTTCCACCATATTTTTTACACCTAAGCCTACTCCGTATGTAACAAAAAAAGAAAATCACCATACACAAAAATCAATGTAAAATAAATTATAAAAAAATCAAACTAGTGTGTTGTATTTATACACTTACGATATAAGTGTTAAAAAGAGTTGTCAAAATATATTTTCTCATTTTTTTACCTATATGAATTTTTCACCTCAATTCAATCAGAGGCTGAACATTAAATGATCTATAATAGTCTCAGAAATTAATAGAACCAAATTTCTGAACATGAAATGATCTATAATATTTGATTTGCAAATTTTCTTGAAACATGACAAGTTGCTTCATATATATTTATCAAGCTAGAAATAGAAGAGAAGTGTGATTCCTAACGAATATCCCCAGCTCGTTTTAAAGTACCAATTTAATTTTCACCTTTACTAGTTACAATCTCACCAATCTCTAATAAATGTTCATTTTCAGCTAATTGAGAAGCTTGTAACTCGCCGTGGTGCTTTGTAGAAAAACAAACAACATTGACAATTAAAGTCAGCTTCTCAAAGAATTGATGAATTGGTTTAACTTCTCTTGATGTAGTAACCAAAGCAAGTTGCAATCGATGAGCAAAACAATGAACATAATATGCATAAGGACAATCCTTCATAAAGATTTCTTTTAAACCGATCCATTCTCCTCTCATATTGCTAACACCATCATACCCTTGACCACGAATGTTGGAGACATCAAGGTTATGCAGAGAAAGTATATCACAAACTTTTTGCTTAAGAGTTAAAGATGTAGTGCCACTAACACGTGCAAGACCAAAAAATCTCTCTTGTATAAAACTATTTTTATCAACAAATCTCAAAATAAGAGACATTTGCTCTTTTTTGGATTCATCACGCGCTTCATCTACAATTATACAAAACTTGAAATCACCAATTTCTTCAGAGATATACTTTTTCACCCTACTTGAAAGAATGTGCAATATCTCTTTTTGAATTAGATGTGAAGTATACTTGCTATTAGATGGAGAATTTTCCAACACAACTTTTGCAACTTCATCATTGTAACCTACTAAGAGTTTTATCAATTCAAAAAAATTGTCTTGGTTTAATAATTTTTTACTTTCATCATGACCTCTAAAAACACACGCTTGAAAAGTTAACCAACAAACAATGTCAATTGAAGTCTTGAGACGTAGCCGATTCTTCATAATTTCAATTGAACTTTGACCTTGAATAATATTCCTAATGCGACCATCTTGGTTCAACAAGTCTTGACAAGCTTTCATAGCATTATTATGTGGAGAACAAGGATTTTTTCCTATGTGTTTAAGAAATGCACAATTCTTTCCATTTCTAACTTTCTTCCAACCTCTAAAACCTGTAGAAATGAAGACATCAGAACCAGGACGTCCACTTGGTCTTTTACTAAAAAGATAACATGGTAAGCAATAAGCAGCATCTTCTGAAGGTGAATATTTTAACCATGAAGGAAAAAGGCTAAACCAAGCGTGTTGAAAACGTCTTTGATGGTCTTCATTACCAAACAATAAATATTGCTCTAAATTCATTTGGTTACGGACCCCATTTGAAATAAGCTTTTTGTATTCCATCTATTTGATTTACATGATATTCCTACATTGAAGGATGTTTTCCAAGATCACGTTCTAAAGAATTCTCAATATCATCCAAACAAATTCTATTAATGTTTTCTTAAATTCTTAGATTCTCAATAACTCAAGTAGGTTCAGACATATGTGTTAAATTCTCTTCATCTCTTTATTTCCTCTTGAAAAAAGAATCAATTTTTCTACTCTTCATTATCACTTTTGTGTTGAATAATCAATTAAATAAATTAAAAAAACACAATAAAATCCAACATAATTCAATTTTACAAATATTAATAAATTAGTAACTTAATAAATTAGTAACAAAACTCCAACATGATTCAACATTTCAAACTTATTTTATTTCTATTTCTCTATTGACTTGCTTTTTGTAAAAACAATCACTATGCCAAAAAAAGACCTTTAGCAACACTTAAAAGCACTGCCTAAAGTGGCGCTGCTGGAGGTAAAGACAACACTTTTTTAAAGGCAAAAGCGCTGCTAAAGGTCTCTTTTAGGCAGCGGTTTCTTATAAAAGCGCTCTCTAATGTCACCTTTAGGCAGCGCTTTTAAATGAAAAGCGCTTTCTAATCCCCCCTTTAGCAGCGCTGTCTAATGTATTGTTTCTGCAGACCTTTAGCAGCGCTTTTAAATGAAAAGTGTTATCTTCCCCCCCCCCCCTTTAGCAGCGCTTTTTAAAAGTGTTTTATAATCTATTGTTTCTGCAGATCTTTAGCAGCGCTTTTTAATGAAAAGCGCTCTCTTTTCCCCCCTTTAGCAGCGCTTTTTAAAAGCACTTTCTTATCTATTGGTTTTAGCAGCGCTTTTATATGAAAATCGCTCTTCCCCCCTCCCCCCCTTTATCAGCGCTTTACAAAAGCGCTTTCTAATGTATATTTTATTGAGGTTTTAGCAGCGTTTTTCTTTAAAAGCGTTGCCTTAGGTCCACTTTTGGCAACGCTTTTCTTAGAAAGCGCTTTCTTTTATTCACGTTAATGGATGTTTTCAAAAGCACATTTTTAAAAAGCACTTTTTATGGAAGCCTTTTTTTGTTAGAAGCACTGTCTATTGTGTATTTTTTTAAGAAGCATTTTTTTGCTAAAATCGTTGGCATACGTCTTTTTTTTTTACTTATAAAATGGAACCACATACCATATAGGCCTTATATACCTTTATAATTCAACACATAAACCTGCTTGTAACCATTATAATTCAACACAAGCCTTTATTTCAACACATAAGCTATATACCATTATAATTCAACACATAAACCTGCTTATAACCAATAATTCAACACAACTTTATTTCAACACATAAACCTGCTTAATTCAACACAATTTTATATACGATTATTTACATCATAAACCTGCTTAATTCAACACAATTTTATATATCATTATTTACATCATAAACCTGCTTAATTCAACACAAACCTCATAACCATTAAAATTCAACACATAAACCTGTTTAATTCAACAGAAACCTCATAATAACCATTATAGTTTAACACAAACCTCCATAATTCTAATAAAACATATCCACTTTCAAAATCTTTAACTTCTAAATATTCATTATACATAATTACAAGTTCCATAAACTCACAACAACTTTTAGAAGTACAACAACTTGCAAAATTATACAACAACTTCCAAAACTATTCCTATTCAGTACTACAGAACATCACAACAACTAAAATCTATAAAGACCATAAACTTCACACAAAATAAAGAAATACATTATATAACTTATATAATTCTCGTCTCAAGAATGTATTGACACCAATCCTCCTTAATTTCTTCCAGTTTATCTTTCGAGTAAGTAGCACACTTGAATTCATCAAAGTACTACATAATATGCATGATTTAGTTAAAACTAATTAATATTAGATGAAATATATATCCGCTAAATATTAAAATAAATCCTAACTTATAAATCCATACCGTGTTTGGAATCTCTATTTGACCCAAATGAAGATTTTTCTTCATAAACCTCAATACAAAATAACCGTGATCTATACCATTACACTGACGAGGATACTACACAAAGAAAAAAAGAAAACGAATATATATTAGGATATATAGTTTAACTTGTTTTATCAAGTAGCATCACTATTATAATCAAAATTGTGAAAATATACCTGCACTCTGATCCATGTAATGTTATTTGCTTTACTCTTTGGTACTCAAGCTTTTCTTTGTGAGTGGAATATTTGTATCGATCTAACATAATATAAACGAATATTTAGAACAATCTCACATAATAAATAAATATACACACGAATATTTGGAACAATCTCATCACTTACGTATCAACCATCTTCTTCATATCTGGGTATTTTGTTTGATCACCATCTGAATCCAGATAATATACTATTTCTCTTATCAAATTAATCGCAACCAACAATCAGTATCCACTGCAAAATAATACAAAAGTTAAGATGGAAATTTTTTATACAACGGAAAAAATGAATATTATAATAAATGAAATTAGAATGAATGTTAACCCATGACCAGTATTATATGGAAAAAATACAACTTTTCTGTATTTCTGTTGGCCATAAATGCATCGACTAAGTAATTTTGGACTGCATTTGGAATTTGTTCGATTAACCGTGCGTTGATACAGCTGACAAATAAGAATGAGAAACTGTATGTCAATTGACGCGGGAACATCAATTTGACATACAAGAACCTTGAATAAAAACATAATCAACATTAGAATATTCATTGAAATTAGTAAATAAATTATTCAATTATTTAAACAAAACTGATCGGAGCACCTGATGTATGAATGCATAACACAGATACCTAATTCAGAATGTTGAAAAATCTGATCCAAATCCTCTTTAGCAATTATTTCGGTATAAGCAAACCCTAAAATACCTTCCTCCATAGGTATTTCACAAATACCACCTTCCATCACATCTGTTATTCCTATGTATGTTTCAAGGCACAACCTAAATCGAGGAACAAATGCTTTTTTAGGCTCGGCCTTTGCAAGTTCCCTTTTTTTTGGACACATTGCTAAATTCAGGCATGATATTCTTGCTGACTTGTTGCAACTCCTGAGCATGAATCTGAAAATCATATAAGTTAAGTAATTAATGTATAAGATTATGAATCTCTTGAATTCATATT